CAGGGCATGGTGGCCAGTCTCCAGTTTCATGAGTGTTCAGAAGGATCTGTGAGACGGTGACAGCCACATTCAGCATTCTAGTTCTTGGAAACCAGCTTCTAGTCCCAAATCTAGATCCATGGAGCCCTGCTGTGGTGATATGTTCTTGAATGCACGAATCCCAGTGGTGGCCTCTTGCTTCCCCATCCTCCTGATTGTGGCATGAATCATAGCTCCTGATTGGTGAGTTCTATGGTGTCTGGGAGCCCAGTCTAGAGGCCAATCTAGAGACCGTTCTTTCAGCCCCTCCAATAATTTTATAAACACTTAATTCTCTACATTAGATCCCTTTCTGCTTAAAATAAGCCTAGAAGCATGAGGGATCCTTTGGGTGATGGAAATGTTCTGTCTTGAACACATCAGCGTAAATATCCTGGTTGTGATATTGTGCTGTAGTTTTGTAAGATGTTACTTACCACTGGGGGAAACTGGGTAAAGGATATGGGGAAACACTCTGTATTCTTTCTTACAATTACATATGAACCTACGATTATTTTGAAATAAAAATGTAATTAAAGAGGAAGCTCAGCGAGGCTTCTGTTTCTGTAGGACACTGACCCTCAAGGGCGGAAATCGGGGCATTGGATTCGAAGGTGATACAGATCTAGTTTAGTTCATGCAGGGGAAAAAAATAGTTGAATAAGTTATTACCATAAATATTACTGCCCTGGGGAAAGTGCCTAATGAAAACAAGGCTTTGGTAAATGGAGCAGTTGCTGCATTTGACCATTGTGGTGGAAATGAGGACTATAAGGGCTGGGGGATGGGCTGGCTATTTAGAATTGCACTGAAGACTTTCAAAAAAGAAATATGTAGGGTTTAAATTCTCAGCTCAAGACAGGATCAGAGAACCAGGGCCATTCCTGACTACTCTAAAAAAATGTGTCTTATCTCTTGTAGCCACAGGGCTTTATGTAGCGAAATATTGAACAGAGCTAACCCTGTGGGTTTCTGAATTGTAATATAATTGTAATCTGGGTTGTATTGACAGCCTGCTCAGGTGCACTGAATGAGAATGAGGGGCATTTAAGAATCAAAATGGGTATGTTTGGGTGGATGCGAATGACTGAGTTCCCAGGCTCACCAAATCCAAAATCCAGTGAAACTTCCTGTTTGACTCCTGCCATCCCCTAAAGGGGAGGAACCTTGCAATAACCAACTTACTTTTCACCTACCATAACGTCCTTGTTCCTGCTCCCTTTTGCTGATAAGTCTTTCATTTTGTACAGCTCCTCAGAACTCCTTTCTACCTGCTAGATTGGATGCTGCCTAATTCAAATGGATTTTTGCTCAAATAAACTCTTAAAAAAATTTTGTAGACCTCAGTTTATCTTTTAACACCAGCGATGGAAGATTGAGTCTTTCTCACATCATACGTCTCTGGCCTTTTCCCATCATCATATCTCTTTCTAACCCATCCAGGAAATATTCTCCTATTTTAAGGACTAGTACGATTAGCTTGTGCTCACTCAGATAATCCAGGATTATCTCCCCATCTCAAAGTCCATACTTATGATTTTGTGATATTATAAAACATGTAAATATACATATTTGCTCTTAGTCCTGGTTCCCAGCACAGAGCTCCCGGCACCCTTTGACTCTCCAAGTGAGGAGTACCAGAAAGGTATCTTTTGTTATGTTGATGAGGTGACTTTTGGACTGCCCCTAGGTCACCTGAGAATGAGAGCAGGGGACCCAACCAAGTGATTCTAGAGTTGCAACTTGCGGTCCCACCCACCCACCAACCTCCAGAGAGGAGAGAAGGGCTGGAGATTGAGCTCAATCACAAAGGCCAATAATTTAATCAATCATGCCTCTGTAATGAAGCCTTCATGAAAACCCAAAAGAACGGGGTTCTGAGAGCTTCTGGATTGGTGAACACGTGCAGATTTGGCGAGAGTGGAGTTCAGAGAGCATGGAAGCTCCTTGTCCCTTCCCAGGTACCTTGCTTGCCCTACGCATCTCTTCCATCTGATTGTACCTGAGTTGTATCTTCTGTTAAACTGAATCCAGAGGCTTGGCTAGAAATAAATGACAAAGATTCATTGAAGGGATTTGCAAATCAGAAACACAACTAGGCAATATCCAGAGTGTTCTGAAGAAGAAAGAAAAGCCGAGCGTTCTTATAGTGAAAAGTACATCCTTGAGAAGGATCGGTCTTGTATTCTTAGCCTCTGGATTGGTCTGAGACAGTAATCGGTAATCGAGATGTCTGGTGGTCTGGATAATGGATGAGAATGAAAAAAGGAGTTCTATGGGAATTAACCTTACAGGTTGATCTGATTATAAATTCCTAACTGTGCAGGTCAGGGTGGATAGTCACACCCCAGGCATATAACTTTTCAATAAAAGGTTTATCTTTGCCTTAAGCAAACCTTGTCCATTGTTTCTGTGCATCAGGGTTAACACATCTTTGAAATAAGTGGTAATCAGCCTCAGGAGAGCACATAATCTTCTTAACTCTCTTGTAACGTGCCTTGCTTTCTCCCACCTTCTTGTACTCTTCTTAATCAAACGCATGAAAGAAGCTGCAGATCTGTTATTCCATGGGGCATTTGAGATCTTGCTCCCCGGCATATGCTGTCAGTTTGGCTCAAATAAATTTATAAATTCATAAAAATTCTCTACAGGTTTGGACGTTTCTTACATCAACAAAGATGTCCAGTGGTGTGGACAGGTGAACATTCTTCCCTAAATTCTTCAGAGGGTTATCTACAGGATTTATATATCTCCCCAGGCATTGATGCATAACTGAAAAGTTCAAAAAGTTTATGTGACAGGTTACCAGAAGGGAGGGGGGAAAATAAAAAAAATTTAAAAAATATATGTATATATAGTATGAAAAATAAATAAACAAACTGGCATTTAAAAAAAGAAATGGCAAAAGAAAAATACGATAGCAATCTTTGCAACAAGAACTAATATTTGAGAGAATAGTCTATATTCACAGAATTACATATTTTTAAAGTAGATTACTTTCCAGAATTTATAAATGTATTAATAAATAAAATTTTAGAGATCTGAAATATTTTTAATATAGTAGTAAGACTGTTTGGTTACAAGAGACAGAAATACCAAACCAATTCACTTAAACACAGGAGGAACTAGATTGACTCACAGAACACAGAAGTCCAAGAGACATAGCAGGACGAAAAAATTAAATCTTT